TCCTTTCGTTGTATAGAGGTTGTTTGACCTTGTTTTCGCAACATGGTCATATTGGTAGGAAGACTTAGACGAACACACATAGCCCGGAGTCCATTGACTGCATGAACATTTCCAAAGTTGGAAATGTACCACGTCCACAATTCAACTTTGGAAATGATCATGCAGACAATGGACTCCGGACTAGGTGCGTTCTTCAAAGTCTTCCTACCAATATGACCATGTTGCGAAAACAAGGTCAAACAACCTTTATAAACATATAAGTTTGAAATTAATTTTCCTAGGGCTGACATAGCGAGAAAGACAGTCAAATGGATAATTTAAACGTTTCTATGAGATAAAATAAATGTGTATAACAACCAAAGTATTATGTGAATAAGGAAACTAGACTATAACAACAAAAACTAAAATAATAAGGCAGAATTCATAGACAGCACGAATTTATAGTTTATAGCATGATACAGTGAGATTAATAATAGATTCAATGTTAGAAATAAAACTCATCGTCTAAATGTATGCCTTAGAATAGAGAAAGTGACTAAACATACACAATAAAAGGGAGCAAATAAAGCAAGAAGAAAATTAAAACATACTCTTCGCTCCTCCAGCAACCGGAGATCCAGCCTGGCTTGATTACTCTGTTCTTTAGCATGCAGACTGACTAGGGCGGCTACCTCACTTGCGGGTCGAGTGCTCATTTGATGGGTTTTACTACGTCCTGGCATTTTATACGGGCCTTTTGATAACTGGGAAGTAAAGCCCACAGAACCCTGGTTAAGGTCCGACAGAATCAGTTGCTTTTGATGATTATGTTTAAGTTGGTAGGAGCGATCTAGACTTTTTCCAGTAGTTTGCTGGTATTGAAGTTCCTCATCCGGACGACTAGAGAGTGGAAAGGTACAAAGTGATTGTCGGACCTGTGCCTGAGCAATAGTCTGAGGAATAGGGTGTTTTGGGGCAGAGTTTGAGACAGATGAACAATGACCGGGAGGAGCAGGATGGGTTGGTAAAGATGATGATGACGAATATGCGGTCGTAGCTGGCAACTCTGGTTTTAATTGGGCGATAAGACGAGGCCGTTTGCAGATAGTCGACATTGATATAACAGGTTCTGGGTTGAGGGAGGCGCAACAGGACATGAGGACAGATGGCTTCGAGGAAATGGGCGACTGAGTGAGATAATCATGGCGAGTAGAAGAAACGATGTCTAGACGGCTCTTTGATGAAGGCATATTATTAGAAGAAGTAAATGTGGCTTGGGGACAAGTAATCACAGCAGACGATGGATGGGTAGTGAAGTAGTTAGCGCCTGCGCTTTCTTTCTTAGTAATTGCTATGGAGGTTGAATTAAGTGAGGTAATGGAAGTGGGTGGAGTAACCTGGCCTGGAGAAACCACAACTAAAGGACCACCAAATGCGCTAGGATTACTAGCAGCTGGTAGAAGGCGATGTAACTCATCACAATTCCAATCAAAAGAGGCCGAACTCATAGGTGTAGCTAGTTGAGTTGGCGAAGGGGTCTTCAGTGTCGAGAGATTAATACTACCTGAATGAAAGGAGCTAAAAAGAAAGACAGAAAGGAAGGAATAATTCGGGATTGCATAGATTTACATTCATCAGGTCTGTAAAACAGGTTAATAAACAATATTGACAGAGAATTTAATTGGACTTAATAGACGAGTATTGAGGAGACTTTCCTTTCGTAAGAAAGTGCATGCTGAAGAGATTCGAAGGTAGATCTCATAAGAAGTTTGATTCCCATTGTGCTGCAACCATTTGGCTTTAATGCGACTTTCAGGTTGACGCAGTTGGCCAGACCTCCAACCTCGCTTATAGTAAAAACGGGCAAAGCTTTCACCCATCATATGATGGGCATCATCAGAGTTAGAAATCATTATTGTAAGTCTCACGTTAAGACTATCCGGCTCTATCTTAACTCTTATATATACTCATAAGTAAATAGGAAAATGAATAGGCATAGATGGATATAGGATGGTTTGGCTAATTTAACCTTCATATTGGTCCTGCTAATTTTATTTGTGTATGTGTGTGTGTGTGTTAACGTCTATATACAATACCGATTCTAAATCAGGGCTACGTAATCTGGTACGTCT